TAGTCCTTGGGGCTATGCGGTTGCTCGGTTAAGCCTTCGTGACACGCTTGCCGCACTGGGACAAGCTTGTAGTCCTTGATTAGCTGGCCGATTGTTCCTACCCATTTCGAGTCAACCATAGTTAATGCGTGTTCTATGTGCGTGCGTTATATAATACTTCTCGTTTGCGTTTATATTAATGCTAAAGTGCAGAAATCAGTTATTCTACGGATTATCTAAGTTATGTGCAGATTAACTAAGATGATTTCATTTCTCAAATTACTCAGATAATCTGCACATTATTTACTAGGCACTCGTTAAACTGAAAATAAAATCTTGAGACTTTTGCTGAAACAACAGCAACGTTTCTGTACACTTAAATTAACAAAATATTATTTATAATATTTATTAAAATCTGGATTCCAAAAGTTAACGGAACAAATCAGTTAATCACAAGATTAGCTGGGTAATGTACAGATTAACTAGGGTAATTTCATTTCTTAAATTACTCAGATAATCTGCACATTATTTACTAGGCACTCATTAAACTGAAAATAAAATCTTGAGACTTTTTGCTGGAACAACAGCAACATTTCTATACACCTAAATTAACAATATGTTACTTATATTAGACATATTTTTATAATATAATACATTATATATATATTACATTAAATCAGTTTTATAATAATTAATAAATATAAACTGAAAATATATAAAATTCTAGTTATGTTGTTTAATATATTCAGGACAGGAGGAAAAGGAAGAAGTTTAAGGGTGCTACTCGAAAGAAAAAAATTAGCGGCGCCCTTTTCTCGAAGAAGAGGGGGCTCCGCGCGAAAAAGAGGGTGGAAACGTCCTCCTGGGTTCGTCGTGGTGTTGTCCGCCGGGGGTGGCGGTGGCGGCGGGGGCGGGGGCGGGGCTGGTTGCAGGAGCCGTGACTTGGAACGTCGTGCGGGTGGCGGCCGGGGTGCCCCCTGCCTTGCCACCATCAGCTCCTCTGTCGCAGGAAGTGCGGGGGGTTGCGGCCCTGTCGTCGGTCTTCCCTCCTACAAGAAACGTCAAGGTAAATATAATTTTTCAAAACTATTAATCATCGTCATCATATTATCTCCACCCCAATTCATTTATATCCTAATTATTTATCAACTAATTATCATTTATATTATTTCGATTTAACGCGTAATTTTCAAGGAACTTTTTATACCAGGTTTTGTTTTTTACATTCGTAAAGTTGATACGCGTGGGGCATAAAAAAAAAGAAAATTAATCATATTGGAATTGAACAGAATGAAAATGTGGTAGGAAGATTGAACGAATTGTGGGATCTGGATAACTCAATGGATAAAAACAGTCACCTGGTCAATTAAAAATCCGTGGTATTCGAGTTCCCGGTCCAATCAGAGTCCTACAACTCAATTAATTCACGAATCCTACAACATTAACCCTTTACACTACACTGAAATTCGGAATAAGCCGTCGAACCGGAGTGTCAGAACTTTAAACACGATCCAATTAGTTATTTCTGTAGTCGAAAAATAAAATTATTAATAAATATGTATCGTAGGGAAATTGGAAATTAAAAAGAACTAGAACTTAGTTTTGATTCATAGTTTTTGTTTGAGTGTTCAAATATAACGGACTAAGATATAACGAAGTTTAGATGTTTAGTTTTTCGAATATTACAAGAATGTATGTCTGCTCAAATGAAAAAGACGCTGAACGTTAGAGATTGAGTTGCTGAAGAAGTCCCAACAAAGTTCTAGTTCTTTTTAATGTCCAATTTCCCTAAAATACATATTAATTTAAACACGATATTTTACGATTGACAATAAGACCACGAGTACGTCTCGTGATATTCACGTTTGACATGAAATTATTGACGTGATTATTCGCGTTTTGCCTAAAACTATCATCACGAGTCAGACTCGTGAAAATATTGTAAAGGGGGTTTATGATGTTAAAAAGACGAATGTATTAAATGATTTTGAATAATTTGGAATACGTTTAATCTGATCAAAGGCAGCGCACCCGCCTGGAGCCGTGGAAGTCGTGGACGCGGGAGGGGTCGCGGGGGCGGCGCGAACCTACTCGGTTCCGGTGTCGCCCCCGCGAATTATTTATCGGGACTACAGGCCGTTGGGCCCGAACTTCGGGAGGTGGTTCACATTCTAGGAGAAAGGAATCAAGCTGGCACCTTAACTGGGGTCGAACCACCACCGGGAACTTTGGATTCGGAAGGCACCGGAGACGAGGAAGAAGGAACCTCCATCAAAAGACCACCTAGGCCTCTCTACAGGAGACTGATCAACTACGTACGACAAGCCTGGACTGGTGTCAAGTTTGCTTTAGGTATTATATCGATTTTTTACCCATATATTTCCCCATAATTATAAAACTGATCTAAATCATATTACTCTTGTTTAAAGATATTCAAAGAATTACAATTGTACACTGAATTAATTTTGTTTATTATTGAAATAACAAACATTAGATAGTGGTTCATTTTTGACATTACATTGAATTAATTTAGTTTAAAATAATGTGTGTGGTGTTAAATATAATTGTTTCTTTTTTAATCTTAACTTACAAGGAGACCTTACGGTTGTACTCTCACGGATTTTAACGAGCTTTGGTATATTAGTAGTATACTAGTAGAGTGTTATCGTGGTAAAGTATTTTATCAAAATGCGAAGTCAATTTTGAGAAAAAAGCTTCTAAAGTTTTGATTTTAGTTGTATACATGTTTATATTATCTTAATTGCAACTTGTCATCAAGAGTGACACGCTAACTTATGTAGTAGCGTTCTCGCTTCTCGTGCTGATAATTTGTGTTCGATCCTTCATAGGAGAAATTTTTTTTAATAATTTTTTTCTATCTGTTTTCAAATTGATTTTTCATATTTTTTAATTTTTAAATATATACAGGAAAGAGAAAATTAATTATTACAAAAAAATTAGAAGTAATAAATTTTTAAACATCTTGCGCAAATAATAAAGAAAAATTTAAT